TCAATCTATCTATCTATCAACGTCGCGTATAGTCCCCCATGATGCTTTATGAGCTATACCACAGGCACCCCAATTACAATCAATTACGTCATAAATATATCATGTGACACAAAAGTCACATTTATAGATGCTTTTCTGTTTCTATCACATGGTCAATCGAAGTACGAGGGAAAGGCTGTGTCTACGTCGAGTGTTCGCAAAATTGTACGAAGTATTTCTTGTTTTGTAAACTATATGCTTCCTGACCTCAGAGGTCATTTTTTAATTAAAAACCTGAAACTTTACACCAAGATATCTGATAATCAAATGCATTGCGCCATGTCGTCTTTAGTTGCATTAGTAATGATAGGATATGAGTTTTAAGAGCATTTAAAGCATTTATTTTGATTTTTTTTTGAAAGAGTTGCCTTTGGAGATTACCATAAATAGTATAAGCTGGTTAATAGGGTTCTTTCCTTTAAACATTGCATCAAAAATTGTTAAAACATAAAGTGTTGTTTATATGACCTTTTTAAATCACACGAAATTTGCATATTTTGAATGAGCTACACGCTTTTACAGCGTGAAGTCTCAATTTTTTGCGGTGTAAAAAATTATCATTTCATCACGATGTACAATATTATGATATCACCCTTGCTAGCCCGACTTCACGCTACGTTAGCGTCTAGTTTCATATGTATAGAGTCCAATATTTTTTCTGCTTATGTTTTAGTTGGTATCTCTAAGCTGCTATCACTTCATATAGACATCTCTAATCAAACTGGAATATCTATGACTTACTTTGTATTACTAATCTTTAATAAGAGCAAGGAAGCTTTGGGTAGACAGTAACGTTCATCGCGAAGTCTAAACCAGCGACCACTCATACACACTGTAAGACTTCTTACTAATAAACTGGTGGGGATCTTCAAGAGCTTTGACAAATTCTGCAATTAAAACAACACAAATTTATCATTTGAACTGACATTTTCCTGAAACTCAGTTTTATTATTTCGCTTTAAGGTACTTACCCAATGCTACATTTTGAAGTCAAAACAAATGTCCATATTCACACGTACATGATGATTAGCGTTGAATATTGATTCTAGTCGGAAATAATCATACCATTAACTCATATTTTAATATTTGTGCTGACTTAACTAAACTTTCAGTTATCTCTATATAACTCACCCTTTTGCGTTACTCAAGCTGCGTAGCGCCTCATCCCACTGGTATATATTCACTTAAGCTGTTTTTATGCGTCATGTAACTGAAAAAACATTAAAATGAACGATACAATTGAAGCCTGAAACCCCAATACTCTCGAAATCTGCAAGTAAGCACATACCTCTTCTGGTTGAGTGCCAACTGTGAAGGGTGTGAACAATGTCATCTGATAAATATCATAACAGCTGTAATCCGGTTTGACCTGTTTATTTCATTCGTAGAATAGCCACATACCGGTTTGAAACCAGTTCATGGGAAGTAGGAATGACAAATAAACAAAAATAATAGAACATTTAATAACACTTAAACCCACCATGGTTCCAGAGGTTTCTTTGTGTCTCTCTCTCTTCTCTGTATAAAAATCGCTGCTTTGAATGCTCGATGAAGAGATATTTTTACACAGGAAATAGAGACACAGAAGCCTCTGGAACCAGGATTAAACAAACGCGCAATATCACGCGCATGACCTGACGCGCAACCCCATGTAAGAGAATCCAGAGAAAAAAGGATTCCGGATTCCAAGCACTGGATTCCGGATTCCGAAACATTGGATTCCGGATTTCAAGCCTTGGGATTCCGGATTCCAAAGAATTTTTGTTTTAGATTCTGTATAATAAATGGCCTGATTTTCAAGGTTTTTTTTCCTGAAAATTTTATATTCAGCGTGTCAGTATCCTGCGCAGGGGCGTCAGCGGGACGATGTCCTATGTGTTTTTTAGATATCAAAATTTTTGCTGGATTCCAGATTATGGATTCCAAATATTTGGATTCCGGATTCCAGGATAGGGATTCCGGATTCCAAAGCTGTTTTTTTAGTGGATTGCGCAAATGCAATACTACACTGATTATAGTAGAATGAATCTGTAAAGTTTTCCTTTTCGGGCCTTTGGCTTACAAGATACATAATCAAAATGTATAAGAATTATAAAAATAATTAGAACTGTACTTTTTTGAAGCATTTAATCCTCGCATTCTTTAGGCACAGCATAAACGAGAATGTCTGAACCCAGAGTTTAAATTTCGGGCTTCTTATTTTTAGTCGGGCTAGCCATAGGCTAGGCCGACTTTAGTTTTACCTTTTTGTCAATCTATGTGTCATGTCGCGTTTGGGACACCGGAAGTTCAATCCGCAACCTTCATGTCATGCGATGTTCTTTCTAACCGGAAATCAGACAACTCCAACTGGGATCCCTGTGCCATTGCGTCACACATGACGTCATAACTTAATTACATTAGCATTCGTCACATAAGTCTACCTCCGAGTCTGCGGCATATCATCGTATACTATTACTTTTTGCTTGACTTATATACTAATAAATTTGCTTGTTAAGAACCATGTGGGAGGACGTGTGCTTTATGTAACTGAATGAAACATAAGCGCATGCTCAGAGTACTAAATGTCCCATCCAATCACACATTTTTGCAGTTACCAGGGCAAAGGTAGCCCTGTCAAATATACCATAATAATCAGCYAATCACGTGCATACCTACAAAGTAACCTGTCAACTAAAATTACCCATAATTTCCTGGTTGGATAGCACAGGAATACCAAGGTCACATGGTCAATCACATTATCCATAATGCTTTACTTTACTTGTCTCATGGTGCTGTACTTGTGCTACAGTACGTTTGCTCGACGKTTCTTCCTTCTTCCTTGGAGAGTTTTTGCAATTAAGATGTCAAAAAAGTACATACTGAGACGCTCAACGGCAGCTCAACCATCTTACAAACGCACACGCCGTTCGCGGTAGACTCACACTAAAAGATGTCAATGAGCGTCAGTTTCGAAACGAGTCGTTCCGTGAACCCAAAGAATTCTTTGACAAGACGAAGGACAGACCTCTACAATCAGCTCTAGACTCACAGTGATAAGTTTATTTGTTCTAATAGCTATATTTTACGTATCAATAAATAGTTTTGTCTATTATATTTCCCCATTTACTGTGTTATTCATCGCAGTCTTGTTTTGTAAAATATGCTTCTTGACCYGAGAGGTCATTTTTAATTAAAAACGTGAAACCTTACACCAAGATATTTGATAATCAAATGCATTGCGCCATTTCGTCTACGGTTGCATTAGGAACTAGACGCCCCTGGGGCGTAAAGTCGGGCTAGCTATTTTTGCTGCGGACGAAGTGAGCAGCGACACTAATCTCGCAGGCCTCTTGGGGTCCCTGTGCCATACATACATACTGAAGGCGAAAGTCGATTTCGTGGGCTTAGCGATAGACACTTCGAGCCTACAGTAAACATTACATAATCAGCGGTTATTATCAAATGATGCCTTTTCGATCTCTTGCAACGGCAAGTTCGACAAATATTTAGCATGTTAAATGCGACTTTATTTATTCGAGGAAGTATTTATCAAGGTGATAATCGTTTTAGCGACATTTCTAGAGGAAGGGAATGTGCTTTTATGAGTCTTTCAGCTTTGTTAACTGCACATTGTGATGATATTTCGACGTGGACGACAAATACGATGGATTGTGTTTTGKCCGAATGAGATCTTTTTAACAGCATTCGAGAAGCGCTCTATGCCTGATGAAGAGACTATTTCTCTGAATTATCTGCCAGGTCGAGTCCTTTGGTCTCCGATGACATAACTTCTATCGCACTTTTAGGCAAACCAGCCAAACCAATCGCCCGATGAGGCACTAGCAAATCAAAACAATCGCCCGAAAATAAATAAAAAATTAAAAAAATACAGTCTGTAATAAAGTGTACCTATACGTTCTAATCTTGTTTCTTTTTGCCATGTATTCTCCCTCCATGAAATCAAATAAACCTAAAACCAATTTGAACAAGCATCACAGAATTTACATATCGCAGCACTTCACTTTCGATAGGAACCGCTAGTTGAAAATTGATAGACACGAGTGAAAAGATTATGATGTTATATTTTGTCTAATCATATGATATTAAGAATGTAAATGAAACTTGAGAAAGACAGCAGGATATTACATAAAAGATAAAAATTAGATTAAAATATATATTTCTTAATTTTTCTCCAAAATAGCCGAACTCACGGTCTAATAAGAGCGTCTAGTTCAAAATATCCAAACTCTCTTGAGACTAAAATAAACTTGACCTAAAAGGTCATGTAATTGATACCAGCAATGAACGTAAGTAGTTCTTGC